AGATCCTTGAGTTCTTCATACTTCAGTTGTATTGGTGAATCTGGGAATGCCAAATTTTTTAATCAGCGCATAAGCTTCGTTCCCAACAGCTGACAGAAAATGTGCTGTCTTCTTCTCAGCGTCCAGACTTTTACGGGTGAGACACCAAATCTCAAAACGCTCCAAATAATATTCTACATAGTGCGAGTTCGAATGAATATCGAGAATTTCCAAGTTGCAGGTGTCCATCATGAGATAAAAACCGGCCGCGACGCCAAATGTGGTAATCTGTATTTGGTATAAGGAATTGAAAAGCAATAGTCCGCGCAATTAAGCTCCAACCGAACTAGTACGCAGTATGGAATAGAACTCCAGAATATTCGAAGTCAGATTTTTTGCATTACGCGCCGAAATTGTACAAAGCAATCGATCATGTAATGAAGCAAGAATGTTCAGTTTATACGCAATCACCACACATTAGTCATTTCAACAAATACAATTCCACAGGTCACGTGAGCAAATGTGGTACAAATGCATTATTGCGAGGTAAAAACTGACTGCAAGCAGAACAGATACTGGTAAACTGAATGCTTTTTCCATCATCATCCCGAGAATGGTATTCACCCAAAGAGTGACATTGGAATCCGGGAATCATATGACAATTTTTTCATACCTTTTGCTTATCTGAAGTAAGACATACATAGTAGTTGCATTTTTTTCATCGTTCGTCGTTACAAGGATATCGAGATTAATCCTGAAATTCCTACTGAATTGAAATGATCAAATCTGTCCAAATCAATATGATTCAAGTCCACCCAGTTCACTAACCTGTCTTCCAGTTGGAGGAAAGTACGAACAAAGGAGATACTGTCATTGTGGACGTATGGTTTACAAATTGAATCCAGTAGTCTGAGAGAAGGATTACAGTTGCTCTCAGCGCTACTATATACAGCATACTACTGTCATGAGATACTACTCACTTGTGAATAGTAGGTAACATAGTTGGTGATTACTTTCAACGATCAAAAATCAACAAGATCACTGAGGGCAATTTGCTAAGTCTCAAAGAAGAACTATCAATCGTTATTTATTTTATTTATTTTTATTTTATTTTATTTTCCCATGACAATTTTATTCCCAAGTAGTGATATATATTGAGATGTATTGACATGAATACGAATCTCTGAAAACGAGCTTGTTCGCCACTCTGTTGTTTTGTTTCAAACTATCAATCTCTACATTCATTACCGGTCGTGTGGCCAGGAACCGCGATTGTATGTTTTTGATTAGATTTTTTGTGTCATGCATGCCAAATTGGTGCTATCCCATCTATAATCTTCTACAATTAATTGTCCTCGACCAGCACCGCCTTCTGGAATTATAACGCTACAGCCCAAGTGGAGTTTAGTAGGCGCCACAAAATTCCCCGCTGCCCAATAATGGTCACGCGGTAAGGGTTGCTCCGATCTCCCCGATTCTCTGTCTGTTGTGTGGCTGTTCGTTGATTAGCCGCGTACCCTTTCCTGAGTAGTCTATCATTGTGTTTTCACTAAAAGAAAGTAGATTGTGTAAAAGTGCCTAGCAATAAGCGGTAGTTCATTTGTTGCTTTGTACATCAGTAGAACAGATAGGAATATGGCTCCATAGACAGCCGAGCACAGATCCCTGTGTGTTGGAGTTGGCAATGAACTCCCGTAAGGCAGATATTAGCAAGAGATTCGGTTTATTCACCTGTGAAACAGCCTATGACAAGAGCATTACATCACCAAAACAACCTGTTGTTAGTAGTGTTGGTTCAACACTCCCAGTGCATGTCACGAGTATGCTGCTAACAAACTCCAAGGTTCGAACCCTACAGTTCCACACAAACTAGCGTCCGAAACCATAGAAAGCATATCCTATTATGGTGTCATGTGTTTTGACCTCGCTTCTCAAGTACCGGTTACCGTTAATGAACGTAAAATATTCTTAACTAAGGGTGTACTAGTTCTACATTTCGTACTACAACATCATGTATCAGACAAGTAAAACATAAAAAGTTCGCACACCACCGATGTGCTGGTAATAAATTAAAGGTTATGAAATTAAAATTTGATACACTGCGGAGTATAAACTAATATACTCTCGATTGGTCGTGGTCTAGCACGATTCGACTATCCTTAATTTGGGGAGCTGAATTAATGAAAATTCCTGACGTAGTGAGGTACTACGCTCATTTGTGAGTAGTTTTCGCGCATCGAGAAGCGATAGTTGGATTCCCCCGGCATTCGCAAGTGGATTAAAGGATTCACTTTTGCAACTATAGAAGGGGCTGATAGATTGACAGAAAGAGAAAATGACGAAAATACTAACCAACTGTTACCAATTAAATGTTTCGTTCTATGCTCCCTAGTGATCCTATCCTAGAAAGTTCTTCACATAAATAACTCTCCTTGTCCCGGCACTGTCTTGTGGATATGTAACACTGAAAACGACCCAAACCCCACAAAATAAAATATCAGTTGCAGATTATGAGTAGATTCTGAAACGAAAAGTAGTAGTAGCATCCCGGGAATTCGAAGCGTACGTCGATACCGCTTACACGTTTGCAATGCTCACTCTCTAGCATTTGCGAGCTCAACGCCACACCAGTTGAATCAGTCTTCTCTTTTATTTGGATCATCCGGCCGCCGTGTAGATGAATTTCATGCTAGGGTTCGAAACCCATCTGGGCTATGAATCTTGTTGGCATGCTGCTCTATCTTATTCCAAAGTTGCACCAATAAGCACCCTCAAAACGCAATTCAAAAATGTTTAAACAATGTAGCTGGGCAATCGCAAAAACTGAAAACTTATGGTGAAGATTGACTATCAATATAACGGCTTTATGCAGAGAAATAATTACATTTTATAGGTCGATTGTTTGGTTCATTGCAGCAACGATAGTGGGTGTAGATTAATACAACGGACTATCAAGATAAAATTAAATGAAAAGTTGGTATGCGGTATGGAACAGATAAAAATTATGGGAAGGATTCCGTTGAAAAATCGCTGAATTACAGAAGAAAAGACCATATTGCAATACTGCACGATTTATGCCCTAGTTGAGTCAACAAACAGAACATTATGTTAGTTCATCCTTACCTGGTGACAGTCCTTTTACCCCATTACCCTTTTTTGTTGCCATGCTAAATCCCTATATAAATATTGTTTTTTCTGCAGCATGCACCATGTTTAGATGCAGCGAAATCGTCCCGGACACAAATCAATGCAATTTGGTCTTTTCTTCTGAAATTGATCTCGGGAAGGGCTTGCTTCAGTTTTCTTAAAAATCACTGAGTGTCACCAACCGTTAGCGGACGAATAAAGGACATTTTTCCAAAATATCGCACACATAACGGATTGTAAATTGCGAACCAGTTGAGCAATAGTGAGAGACATGCGATTCTCATTGCCGAATCTGCATTTCCAATTCAATGAATAATTTCCGGAAGATTTCACATTCAAATTAATCAATGTGATCCAACAGGAAGCTAGTTAGCTTGATTTGCTTGGAAGCTCCATAAATTCGACATTGGGGCTGAATTTTGTTACCCTTCATATTTTTAGGAGGAGGGAGATGAACAGTCGAACAGGATATCACTTGAAGTACAAAAAATGAAATGCAGACTGAGATATTTTGGTCAGATTGATGTCAATGAAACGCTAAATTGACGGACGAGTTCCATAGATGAGCAACTGGTCGTCGGTAGATAACACAAAACCGGCCACGTGCTTCTGAACTATTTTCCGGATCACGTATATGGAATAGCATTATCATAGTTTTATATTTGTATTGCTACAGCACACCCGTCTCTCGCTACACAACTATACGTAGCCATGCAGCTCAGTCTTCATTTCTTTTAAAACGAGATTTTCCATAAAGTAAATCACGGTTGTCTTATGTGATTGCTAATCAGCACTGTACAATCTTATCAACAAACGCCCCCCCCCCTCCATCATCATCACAATCGATGCTGCAATCGTCATCTTTGTTGCTAAATCAATCAACGGACAAGAAAGACATAGCATTGGACAAATGACGATTGATCGGAGCCAAAATTTGGTATACATTTGTCGGTTAGGCAGTGACTGAGCCTACCAGAAAGGCAGAGAACAAAGCAGTTTGAAGTATAAAGGATCAGGTAAAACTGCACTTTGACAGCGCAAACCGCGTGCTTAATAGACCGGCAGATCACGTTAGAATGTCACTTAAGCTTTTTCCATTCATTTTAAATCCCGTTGGGTAGGCTTATTTGTACCATAGTACCCGAATTACATTGATTTTCATCCGATTCCTACTAAATGCTAAAATACTAAGATTGTCAATCAATTGTCAATTATCCGCTCTTGAAAAAATGCAGTGAATTAGAACCCGTATGAGAAATAACAATACTTGTGTTGAGCGAACACCCAGATGGTAACAAAAAACAAAATCCACTGAATTGCCTCTATTAAAAGATATTCATTTATGTTGTTAAGTTGTGCAACCAGGGATCTAAGGAGACCAAATGGAAAAACCGAAGAACCAGACATTGTAGACAGAGCTATTCTTAGGCTATCAAGCACAAGCAATCAATCAATCACACATCAATGACAAATGTCCCCGCCTTATGAGAGAATTCAATTCATCAAAATGTTTATTCCCACATTATTCAAACGATATTCTCACACAGGGATATAGTTTCTTCACCTTAATTCTTTAGTACGCAATACTTAAACTTTTGTACTTTACCAACATAATTGATAGAAACGATTCAATCAAACCTATCTTAAGAAGCAAATCGACTGTAAAAAAATTAAGTCTATTAGAGGAACATTGTATTTTGAAGGAAATCAGAACAAAAAAGTCAGACGATATTCAAAGCGAAATCAATGAAATCAATAGTGTCAGGATGAGAAAATATGAACGATAAACGAACAAAAACTTCTGAGAAGTTGTGGACGGATATGGAAGTTCACTCAATCGCAAGATTAAATCTAGAAAAAATCAGTGCATTGCCTCATGCGGTCCCCGTGGACCGATTGAGTTCGTCCAGAATTTCGTTAAGATTTCCTCTGTTCTTTCGAATGAGATGTCTGAGAGTCTTTTCGTCTTGTGTATAACCCATGCTTCGGAGTGTGGTCATACACATTACCATATAGTGTGATTTACTACACTTATCCTTTTTACGACAATCAGGATTCACGGCGGACGGTTGAACGCATTTAAGATTCCGCAATTTCGATTGCAGATTCATAAGACTAGGATCAACCGCCTTTGCTTCTGGCGCTGCAGCAGGAGTTGGAGCAATCGGTGTAGACTGTGGCTGGAGTTGTTGAGACAAGACAGGTGCGGATGGGACATTTTGACTAGCAGGTTGCATGGGCGAATAATCCATTCCCGGATACATCATGGGAGTCATCTGGGTTACCGGCCACTGGGGTGCATACATAGCTGGCATTGCCGGTGCTGCGCCTGGATGCATGTAGTATTGGCCCATTCCGTACATACCCGGATAAAACGGACTCGCCTGGGGTGGCATTACAGCAGCAGCGGGAGTGGGAGCGGGAACGGGAGCGCTTGCAACAGGAACAGCGGGAACAGGAGCAGTTGCTGCAGCAGCAACAGCAGCGGCAACTGCAGGGGTATCTGATGGGGCACTGGAAACGTCCACGGCGACTGCTTCAGCAGGTTCCAATGTTGTTGTACTGGTCGCCTCAGCAGGAATGGGAGCAGCGGTTGATGGTATTGGAACAGGAACCGCCTCCTCTTCGCTGTGCTTTTCTTCCTCATGCACTTCCGGTTCATCGGTCGAAACCTCCTCCGCCGAGGATTCCCCTGGTTTAAAATCCGATCCCAGATCCAAAACCTCCCAGTTTGATCCGGGTCCAGGTTGTTCTTCGGTGGCCGTATTCTCCGAATTGAGATCTAACTCGTCAATTTTCGGTAGCTCTTTCACATCTTCCGGGTCCGCGGTTGGTTTGATGCCAAAAATTGTGTGATGCGCTGTCTTGTCTGGTGAGGCGTAGATCCGGCAAACCTTGCTTCCACATTCACCCGATTCCATGCACTGCACAGCCTCTTCCAAGTCGTTCACGTCACGAATAGTGCAGTAATCCTCGCCATCTGAATGAACGAAATAGAAACAAACACGCATTGCAGGCGTTATAATTGCGGACTTAAAAGGGAGCGATCAATCAATAAACATCATGCAAAGAAAAATGTCATGGTATACTACTACTACTACTACTACTACTACTAGTAGTAGTAGTAGTAGTAGTAGTAGTAGTAGTAGTAGTAGTAGTAGTAGTACCATTACTTTATGTGAACCTTCTGCGATTGCGTACCTTTGTCGTCACATTGACACTGGTTATGGTTTAATCAAACATGCAATGAACAGATGATAACCGCTGGTGCTGTTTGCGACGAAGCCTTACTAATTCTCTTTGTCCGGACCGTTTTTATACACAAGGCTTACACAGCTCTCCCAGACAACTGAAGGCAGAACAATCATAATTGTGGCTCGTCCGCATCACGTTCACACACTTATCTGGGAATGAAGGGAGAAACGTGGATGCGGACCGAGCATCAAAACAGTCTGTCACTTCAGATAACTGCTAAGAAAAGGAAGTAACTTAAACATGGTGCAAGATTCATTGTCAATGAGATCTCACCTACCACGTACATCTGTGTACCGCACGGAACAGGAAACGCAGCACTGGGCCGATTAATTGTAACTCGATGATTAATTGCTTAGAAAACAGAACGCGACACTGCACTGTGAACAAGAAAAACGTTAGTCTGACTACTATAGAATTACAAGCACAAATAGTCCTACTGGGAGCACCGAAAACTATAGCACAGAATGAGGAAGATTCACCAGTAACGTTCCAACTACAAATTATTGTATCACTCACCGAACCAGGAGACGAAGAACTGCGTGTGACGTACACCAAACA